TAAAACAAAAGGTTGAATTAAATTTGAAGGATTAAAAATATATTCTAAAGTTATTTTGAGGGTGCCAAAAAAGATTTAAATTATTTTAAAAATATTTTGGATCAAAATTGTTATTTAATGTACTAGGATAGAGTGAGAAAATTAAACCTCATGAAAAATTTGGTATTTTATTGAATGTATTTGTAGCATTGGGAGCTTGGGGATAAAGGCCGAGGAGGATGGAGTGCATAACGTTACACTGACACTATCTACTTTCACCGGGACTCAGAATGGAGTAAGGATTAAGTCTTGGGGAAGACCAAGCCGTGGATTTGCTACAAAAGTTTATTTTCAACACATCATTATGGATAATGTGAAAAACCCGATCATAATTGATCAAAATTACTGTCCACATGAGACAGACTGTCCTGGTCAGGTATAATTTCTCGTAAATCTCAAACAACTTAATTTTTTTCTAATTGTATTTAACCTTAAATTTGAATAGAACTCAATATTTTAATTTTATAAATATTTGATTTATTTTCTCTTTAATTGTTTGAAATTTGTTTGGTTTAAAATGGGTGCTAAATTATTAGTATTATTTCTTTGTTAAATTAAATTACTTTTGTGGGTAATAAATTGCGGGCTCCATTACCCTTTTAGTATTATTTCTTTGTTAAATTAAATTACTTTTGTGGGTAATAAATTGCGGGCTCCATTACCCTTACATATCTTAAAATGGTATGAAGTTTTTAGGCGGTAAAAAAGTTTTGTAGATATTCTTGTTTATCAGTTTCCGTAGCATACGTTGATCGTTCTTCTTTATTCTAACAGGCTTCTGGAGTTAAAGTCAGCGAAGTAACATACGAAGACATCAAGGGAACTTCCGCCACTGAAATAGCAATCAATTTTGATTGTAGCCCAATAAATCATTGCACTGGATTAAGCATGAAAGACATAAACCTAACTTACGAGAATCACATCGCTAAAGCTTCATGTAAAAATGCCGAAGGAACTACCTCTGGTGTGGTTGAACCTTCTGGTTGCTTAGCAGAAAAATCTAATTTTTGGCAAAACGTGTTGGTACTAAGATTAAAGGATGATAAAAATGCTCTAGAGGGCTTATAAATTATTTACCAATTCTACCATAAAAATCGAACAACTTTGACAAAAGCTGAAACCCAATAAACATTTTCGTATGGCATGGTATTTAGTGATTTAAAACAATTGCAGTCGTGGAGTAGGTCTAAGTGTTCCCACTAGACGAGACAATGTCAATGAAATATTATACTAGAATAACTCTTATTGCTATAGTTGTGAAATATTATACTAGAATAACTCTTATTCCGGTAGTGGTTTAAGTAACTATTAGTTTGCTCAACCACATCATTAACAATCTTAATAAATCTACCAATTATTTTAGATACCGTAGTTTATCCTTTTAAGAGTTCAGCTTAATATTGACCCGTGCAAATAACTTCCATAGGAGGACAGTCCAAAAGCCACCGCGAACCTCTATATGGATCTCACATTATGAACCAATGATCGAGACCGTACGATATATTGTCATGTTTCCTTCTCGCTATTTTGAAAATAGTTCGTACTTACGCAAACTAGGGTAGACTTATTTATTTGCAAGTGAACGCGAACTTAAAACCCACTTTGTTGTCAATAACTTCCCTTCGAGACTTTGTGGCCATCTACCAATATTTTTCTTTTTATTTTTAGGGCTTTATTTAATCATTCCGCATTGGACAAGACTTCTCTAGAGTTGAATTTGGGACTTATGGGCTCAATCTTAGGAACGAAGAAATGAACTATTGAGTAAGACCTGAACCTTTCCTTCATGAAATACTCTCTTTATTGAAATTGACACACTCTTGATCTTAAGCTTTATGGTGATTGCAACATTTTCATAAAGGACTTAGAATTGAAACACAGTGGATGGATGGATCGATCAAATTTTTATTTCAAATGTCGGTTTTGAGACCCAAAAAAAGAGAGTTTAATCCTAAAAGTTTGCCCTCATTTCTTGTTAGTAAGGTATAATTCTGGGCTCTTAGCGTTCATAACAAAGAGGGTGAAATCATAGTGNCGAAGATCGGGGTAAGTTTGGTTAACCCCATGATTTTGCGCCTCAATTTCTCTTTTCTTAGTTAATGTTAATTGCTGAGATTGGTACCGACATGTTCAAGTTCAAGATATCTTGAAGTTTGGTGAAGAATCCAATTTCAATCGAGGCCTAGAATGTGCTGATCGAGGGTGATATCGTTCTATTTAAGCCTTCTCCACGCGCATGTCATCGAGGCCTAGAATGTGCTGATCGAGGGTGATATCGTTCTATTTAAGCCTTCTCCACGCGCATGTCGGAATGGTCACAAGGTAGAAGATGATCATGTGGTTGGTTCAACTGAACTAGCCATTAATGGTTGATCTAAACCCCATCCTTTAAACTATTTAATGTTTTTGTTCAATTTTAACCAAAGGAGGATCCTAAATTGTGATTTAACTACAGTCTTTCTTCCCGTTTTTTCAGTCTTGTCTATTTCATTTTTTAGTTGTATCCAAATCCATTTTTCCCTTTGTAATATATTTAAAGTCTTGTAATTTTATGTTAACCTGGTATTGTTTAACTTAATTAGATTTTTAATTTTACTGCATTTTCTTATTTTATTTTATTCTACTTTACTTATATTGTTATTCGC